CTTCTCTTATTTAAGTTCATTTATTTCCTTATTTAAATGTGTGTCTATCTATAACCACATCCCCACCCATAAACACACGTGTATACGACAGGACTTCCCCTGTCCCTCCACCCCAGTCCCTGTAGGCACCACAAATATCAATACCCCCTGTCCCCCCTCCTGGTTTTCTTCCCCTTTCCCTTCCAGGAGCGAAGGCAGAGATATTTGTGTGGGAGTCTGTTTGCTCCTGGAGAATCCACCCAGGGAAAGGGGAGGCAAAAGCCTCGGAGTTTGAGTTGCTCGAGAGCTCCGGAACATCCGTCGGAGCCCCGTGGAGCAGCTTCCCTGCCTTTCACCCCGTGGAACAGCTTCCCTGCCTTTCACCCCGTGGAGCAGCTTCCCTGCCTTTCACCCCGTTCATCAAACTTCCTGTTTTTTTTTTTTTTTAGCGAGGCTTAACTGTCCTGGCAAGTGGCAACAGCAGGAGGAGAGCTGGTTTTGTGGGAGCAGAGGGAGAATCCCTGGGAGATCTTTGGATATGAGGCTGAAGGACTCTGGGTTGATGTTTTATTCCAGTTCCTGGAGAGACTGGAACACAGGCAGTGCTTTGGCAGCAAATCCCTGCATGGACCTGGCCTGTGGGGTGGCCCTGGAGCATCCTCAGCCCCATCCTGTGTCCCTGAAAGAGCAGAAACTCACTGAATTCGTGTGTTCCCACTCCCTGCAGGCATTTCCTGGGATTCAGGTGTTTATTCCAGGGTGACCTCAGCATTTCTTGGGCTCTGTTAAACATCACCACAGACTGGCTGTGATGGGACTCCAGTTACCTGCTGGTGGACTGCTAAATTTAGGGTTTCTGTGCTGTATTTCCCCCCCAAAGTCAGTTTAGGAAGCATTACACACTTAAGCTGCACAGGCTCTTACAAATGCGAGAGCGAACGCTGTTATTATACCTAATCCTGCCTGATTTGGAAAGAAAGTGCAGCACAATTTCTTGGCAGACTCATTTCAGTGTAGACAAAAACATTTGGAACGGCATTAGGAACGCTTGCAAATAGACCTGGGAGGTGGTAAATTCCTTAATGTTCCTTGCACGGCGTGGTTTTTTTTGTATAATTTAGCGTAATGTCCACGCTTAATGTCTTCACACGCCCATCCAAATGCAGGCTTGACATGGGGATTTGTTATGTGTCATTTTGATTCTTCATAACTCGATGGGATTGGCGGCTGAGAGCCGGGGAATCCTGCCGGAAAACTGAAAATCTGGAATCTGTGCACAAGGCATGAATCCCGTAATACCAGGGTTTGCCAAGAGAAGTTGTGGGTTCCCCGTCCCTGGGAGTGTCCAAGGCCAGGCTGGGTGAGCTCGGAGCAACCTGGTTTGGTGGAAGGTGTCCCTGCCCGTGGCAGGGTTTGGAATGAGATTGATCCTTAATAATCCCTTCCAACCCGAACCGCTCTGGGATTTTATGATTTTAGGTTTTTTGCTAAAAGAGCCCTCGGGGTTCAGCAAGAAGGTGACTCTCCTCAGGTGGGAATTCTGCCTGGCACCCACGAAGGGCCAACGGCTGTAGACGTGTGGAAAACACAACTTTCACCTCGGAATGATGGAAAAAATCTCAATTTTCCGTGAGCAAACGTGTGCCCAGTAGAACAGGCTTGTGATAGACTGAAATGTGCTAATATTTTGCCAGCACTGAAAAGTAAGTGGGATGAGCTTAGTAACTGCAGTCCAAAGATAACTTGGTGTCAGTTCCAGCTGAAATAATGGAAATGTTGATGGAGGATTAAGTTCGCAGCAATTCAAAATCTCTGAATACAATTTGTGCCTTGAAAGGAGATCTAGTCAAACAAATCCAATTGCATTCCCTGAGGAAATTGTAATTCTGCTTGATAGAGATAACAACACAAAGGTAGCAGCCACTTGGGGGTACTCGATTCTGTTCGACATGATCCTCAGGTTCAGGATTAGCACATGGAACTCCGGCAGGATGAGTGGCACCGGCTGAGGGATCGGTGACAAAAGGCAGCTGTCACCGTGATCGTGGCGGGGGTTCCTCAGGGAATGGTGTCAGGCTGGAGTTTGGTGCCCCAGGGATGTGGGGGTGAGTGGAAAATCGCTGCCGATTAAAGTCAGGTGGCAGCAAAGTTTCACAGAGAACATAAATTTCCGAGCGGGGGTCACATCCAAAGGGTGCTCTGAGCCGAATACAAACATTCCTATTGGGAGAGCCCACCTGGAATTCTGTGGGCCCCCAATGTAAGAAGGATGTGGAGCTGCTGGAGTGAATCCAGAGGAGGCCCTGGAGCTGCTCCCAGGGCCGGAGCCCCTCTGCTCTGGAGCCAGGCTGGGAGAGCTGGGAATGTTCACCTGGAGAAGAGAAGGCTCCAGGGAGAGCTGAGAGCCCCTGGCAGGGCCTAAAGGGGCTCCAGGAGAGCTGGAGAGGGACTGGGGACAAGGCCTGGAGGGACAGGACACAGGGAATGGCTTCCCAGTGCCAGAGGGCAGGGAGAGATGGGATATTGGGAAGGAATTGCTGGCTGGGAGGGAGGAGAGGCCCTGACACAGGTTTCCCAGAGCATCTGTGGCTGTCCCTGGATCCCTGGAAGTGTCCAAGGCCAGGCTGGATGGGGCTTGGAGCAACCTGGGGTCATGGAAGGTGTCCCTGCCCATGGCAGGAGGTGGCACTGGATGAGCTTTAAGGTCCCTTCCAACCAAACCATTCCATGGATATCCAGGGACGAGGATGGCTTGCACAGGAAGGAATCTCACTGCGGAAAACAAAATTTCCAAAGAAAATTTTTGATTCTTTTGCCCCAGAAGCCCATCAGCATTTCCCGGTGAGATGCTGTGGCCCAGCTGACCCTCTGATCCTTCAGCCAGCAGTGAGGGGGTTTTAGGAAGGTTTGGGTGGAAGTGTTTGGTACTGGAGTGCTGTGTGGGTGGTCAGTGGACTTGAAAGGACGCTGGGAAGCGGCACAGCACAGAAAAGAGCAGCACAAACGTCCTGAGGATGGAAGAGAAGATCCCTCAGTGAGATTCAGAGCTCAGCCTGTATCCAAGGAAGTCAGCTCCAGGCCACAGTGTAAGAACCACCCTGGGAAAACCATTCTGCTGCTAGAGAGATCCCTAATTAGTTGGGAAGGAGCAGAACAAAGCCCACACCGTCTGGAAACCGAAGCCAGACAGATTCATCTGAAAAACCAGTCAGGACGTTTTTAATGAGGAAAGCAATTAACCATCAGGGCTAATGATGATGGAGAACAGCGTATTCCATATCTGTTGTTGTTTCCAGGCCCGGGCTGAGCGTGTTCCTCCGAGCTGGAGCCGCTCTGGGGCGGTTTGGCCGCTGAGTGGGATTTGTTCAGCTCACGTCTGTCCCTGTTCCTTCCCACAGTTCCGGTACAAACGCCGCGTGTACACCCAGGCCCTGCTGGATGACAAGCAGTTTGCCAAGCTCCACACCAAGGTAAGGCTGCAGTCTGCCTGCCAAGCTCAAAGCCCCGCCGGCTCCTTCAACCCAGAGGGGATTTGGGGATGTTTCAGCCCCCTCCCTGGTTATCAGGTTGCAAAGAAGCCACGGGAAATGGCTGGTGTGTGCCCAGACCTGGGTGATTTAGTTGAGGATGCCCCCGTGGAGCCGTGGTGGGTGCACACACAGGGATAAACCTGCCTGGATTGTGTCCCAGCAGGCAGGAGCGTGGTTGGGGTGGGTGGGAAGGCGCGGGGATGGCATCCACGGGGTGCTGAGGCCGAGGAACTCGTGATGGGCCTCCCGAAGAGCAGCTTCATTCCCCAGCACGGAGGAGTTGCAGAGCACAATGGGGCACATTGAGGAGCTCGGAGTCCCTCCCCCAGCCTCTGCCTCCAGCTGCTTTGTCTCCAGCTGTAACCCGGCTCTTTGGGTCGTGCTTTCGCTGCTGGGATCCATGTGGGAAGTGGGAAGTGTTCCTGGTCTCCTGCAGCCCCCTCGTGTCGTGGGCAGCGGTTGAAGCGTGTCAGGGTCGGCAGTGAACGGACCTTTGGGATGTTTGGAGAGCAGGGGCTGTGTGGGCATCTCCTGGGAGGAGAGAAGGCCCCAAAACCACTGGGCTCTGCAGCCAGGGGTGCCCCACCTGGAGGGTCAGGGATGTTATAGGGGACCAAACCTGGAGGGCCCTCTCACATTGCCCCTTCCCTGGACAGCTGCGTTGGTCCCCTGTCCCATGATGACACTTCTTCCATGAGAAATTAAGGACAGGAATTGTGGAGAGGTCTGGAACCACCAGGAGGTTTCTGCTGCCACTCATAATTGTGCCTTGAGGTGGCACAGGGGGACTTTGGTGGTTCCTGGGAGGTTGGGACCAGCAGTGTGTGGGAAATAGAGGACAGGAGGGAGGAGATGGACTCTGGCAGCACCTGGAGAGGCTCCTGGGGATGGATCTGTGCTGGGGGGCTGTGCAGAGAGGTTTTGGGGTTCTTGTTTAGGAGGGATGTGGAACTGGCCAGGATCTCTTGTTGCTGGTTATCCCAAGCTCCTTGCAAACCCTCAGTGCAAGGTGATGGTTGTGGTTCCTCCTTGGCCTCCTGGCAGCCCTGTGGCTCCTCCTCGGCCTCCTGGCAGCCCATGTTGCTGCTGGGCATGGGGCATCTGTCCCTGGCTCCTGTGCCAGTCTGCGAGGTGGTCACATCTGCTCTGCAGGAGACAGGCAGGCAACGTCCGTGGGTGTTAAACTAATAGGTAGAACAGCAAGAGCTGAGCTTGGTGGAGCCCCAAACGTAGAGCAGAGAGGGAGAAAACCTTCTCCCAAAGGGCTTGACCTCCCCCAGAGGCTGTGGGGAGGAGCAGGCCCTCTGTCGTGGGTTTGCAGAGCTGCAGAAGCGCGGAACAAAACCCTGATGTGGTTCGGGTCTGGCTCACGCAGATTAAAGTCACGAGGCTTCTGTCTGGTGGCATAAGAATATCCAGGCAGCAGATCTGGAAAGCTCTCAGCATCTCCCTGGCGCCAGGAAACGTGAATCATGGTCTTCCTGAGCCTTGCCAGGGGAGTTGGGAGTTCTCCTGCTGGAGGGAGCGCTGGGGGCTCCTGGCGTTGGGAGAGCTGGTGGCAGCACCCCGGGATTTCCCTGCGGGTGTTCAGCAGCCCCAGACAGGCTGCCTTAAATATTCAGTTCATCTCCACTTTAATTCCTACTTAACCCCAAACCTCCTTCACCTTGTTTCTTTATTTTTAAACCACCCCTTGCCGGTCGAACCCCGCATCTGAGATCTCTCATCTCCGCTCCTCCGTCGGGAGCGTGTCCTTTGGGTGCCGCTTTCCCAGGGCCTGTGGGCGCCGTGGCATTTAGGGGGGCAGGAGAGGAGCTCGGGGGGGTGTGGTGGGTGAGCGGGAGGTGGGGGCAGCCCAAGGGGCAGTGCCAGGAGGGCTGAGAGTGGGGGACGTGCTCACTCCGGCCGCTCTCTGGAGCGATGCTGGAGCGATGCCGGAGTGCCGGCGGCGTCGGGACTCGCCCGGCACGGATCGACGCCGTTCCCTGGCAGAGGGCGAGAGAGGAGCCTGCGTGTGCAGCCTCCCAGCAGCTGGATCCGGGGTGAGAGGGGCACGGAGAGCACGGGGCCATGGGCTCCTCCCTGGGCCGGTGGCTGGCGGAGCGCAGGGACAAGCGGGGACGAGCCCGAGCCGGGAGCACGGTACTGCCTCTGCCCCGACGGCTGGGCCAGGCACCGCCGGGTGAGGGGGCGTGGGGGGACATGGGGGACATGGGGGACATGGGGGACAGTCCTGCCCTGCCACTGACCCCACCCAGGGCTGCTGGGGCAGGGCAGGACCCGGTGGGGGGTTTATTCCCTGTGCGTTGTGGAGACGCTCGGGGCCGATCCAGGGAAGGGCTGGGAACTGCTGGGGGGGCTCTGCTGGTCTGTGCCTTTAGGGTTGGTGTTTTCATCTGGGAAAGTGGAGGGGTGATGCCTCTGGGTCGTGGTGTGGGGCTTCCCTGTTATTTGTAGCGGTGTCCAATTGTTTGGGTGGTGAAAGGTTGTATTTTCTGGGATGTGCTGGTTTAAAGGGCTGGGCAGGATTGGCCTGAGGTCTGACAGGATGGTGGGGTGTCCTGAGGCTGTAGGTAATTATGTCCTGAGGCTGTGACATCCGAAATCTTTCACCCTGTGGTTGATGGTCTCAACCCAATCAAAGCAACGCATGAAAACTCTCAGAGTTTATTCTGATTTTTAGTGGCAGGAGACCTCGAAACACAATTAACTGCCACTGGGATAGTCACAGAATCATTTGGATTGGAAAAGATCTCTAAGGTCATCGAGTGGTGCCACTGGTCTTGTCCTAAGAAGTGGGAGAGCTGAGTTCTTGTACTGCTCACAATAATGAAGGGCCTTGGTACCACGTGCCCCTCGGGATTTGCAGGCACTGACATTTCTCACAGGCTGTTTTTCCCAGTGAATTGCGGGAGCCCCTTTGGAAGTGGGAGTGCACAAAAATCCGTGTTACAAAAGGGCAATCCTGTTGTGCAGAGAAATCTTGGCATTTACTGAAGTGCCCACAGAGTGCTGCCAGGGGACTCCAGATGTTACCACCTGGAAAGGGAAAGGGAAAGGAGCATCACACTTAAAACACACTTAAAGGAATGACTGGGAGCACGGATGCCCTTCCTGCTGTGGGTGCTGTGAGGGGAGAGCCAATGGCCAGGGGTGGGATGCAAACCATACACTGGAGGAGGAGACAGCAGGAAGGAGCTGGCAGAGGCTGGGAAGGAACCTGGGAAGAGAAGGGAAGGTGGTCAGGGGTGAAGGATTCAGGAATTGCAAGGAACACATCAGACCTCCTCAGCTGCTGTGTCACATTTGGTGCAAACAAGGCCTGTTTTGCCCCTCTGCATCAGGAGACCTCTTGCTTATCTCCGACTTCTCTGCCTGGACAACTTAAGGAATGAAGGGCAGGACAGCAGGATCTCATGGCTGAGGACGTGACCCCAGCCCATCCAGCCCACCATCCTCCACTGGCACCAGCCTCTGGTCTCGGTGTGTGTCTGGGGAGAAGCAGAAGGGGAAAACTGAAAAACCTGGTGGGATGAGATAAAGCAGCTTAACAGGCTGACAAAACTGGACACACACCCCAAGAAAACTCAGGCACTCAGTCCCTGCTTCCCAGGGGCAGGTGCTCAGCCAGCCCAGAGTAGCAGGGCTTTGTCATGGGTGCTGGTGACTTGGCTTTAAGCTGCTGGAGGGTTAGATGGGATATTGGGAAGGAATTCCTGGCTGGGAGGGTGGAGAGGCCCTGGCACAGATTTCCCAGAGCATCTGTGGCTGCCTCTGCATCCCTGGGAGTGTCCAAGGGCAGGTTGGAGCAACTTAGTGTAGTGGAAGGTGTCCCTGCCCACAGCAGGGGTTGGAACTGGGAGGGCTTTAAGGTCTCTTCCAACCCAAACCATTCTGTGATTCTTTGAAGACAGGCACCATCACTCCAAACATCCCTCCCTTCCTCCTGCTTCCCGAACTGTCATTGCTGAGCGTGGCATCCTTTGCTCTGGGACACCCCCGGGTCAGTTGGGGTCAGCTGTGCCCCCTCCTGTCTCTGTGCCCCCTCAGCCTGCTCAGAACTGACCCCCCCTGTGTCACCACGAATCCAACACACGGATGGAGCAACCCGGCTCTATCCCGGAGCATCCCCAGCATCCTGCACGGAGAAGGTGTCCCTGCTGGGGGGGCACTGCCAGAGAGGGGGGGCAGCTGCTGAGACAATAGTTAAATAGTTGTCCTGGCGTGTCAGGAAGTCGATAGTTTGATGTCGATAGTTTGATGTTTCCGTGGGGATCGATGGCTCCATTTGCTGCTGCCCCACAGGGAGGTGGATCTGCTCCAGCCTCTCCCGTCACAAAGCCCCGTGCTCTGTCTTAATTCCAGCTGCTGTCTGGGGGCAAACTGGGCCCTGAGAAAAGATTAGTCCTTGCCTGATTGCTGGAAACACCCGAGTGAAGGGTTTGTGCTGCCTCCCCTCTCCCACAGAGCCCCGAGCCGGTGCCTGCGCTTGGCTCGCCCAGCCCGCCGGGAACAGCGAGCGCCGGGATAATTTCCCCGCGCGAAGAATATCTCATTTATTCCCTTTCATTTCCATTCAAGAGAGAGAGAGGAGCTCATTCCCTCGCGCCAGTTTTGCTCTCAATGAGCTTTTCTTCTCTGGAGGGTGTTGATTTTCCCCGCGGTTCGGTGCCGGTGGTGGATGATGGAGAGCGGCGGGCGGCCGCCAGCTGGGGGGCTGGAGCTGTGCCCCAGCGCTCTCCCGGCCTCACCCTCCTCCACACGCCTGCAAAAACAAGGGAAAGCGCCTCAAACTCGCTCAGGAGTCGCTGTGAGGTGGCATTTTGGGCGAGGGTGGGTGAGATCTGAGCTGAAGCGCCAGAGCCGCGGTTCAGGCGCGGAGGGTGAGGGCAGAGACCTTTCGAGGCGCTGGGTCCTGCCTCTCCTGACGAGGCTCCTCTTCCTTCTCCTCCTCCTCGGGGAGCTTTGCCCCCAGGGAAGAAGATCCCAAAGACAGAGACCGCTCCCCAGAGGGTTTCCAGGTGGTGTGAGCTCAGCTCTGTCCCTGCTTCCTCACAGACCCCC